ATAGGTGCGCCTCAATGAGAAGATAGCATGTGCCAAATTTTATATTCATTCAATTTGTATAAAAAAAACTAAAAATAAAATACTTTGAGACGTCGGATCTAAGATCAAACGGTGAGTGACTCTCTTGATTAAAATTGGACGGCTGGATGGTAGGGGGAGGATAGAACTTCTATGCTATAGGGGAAGCATAGAAACCTTTCCCTTTACTCATACCCTTTGATTTAATTTCAAAAAAACCCTTTAAAAGTACACTCGATCATTGCTTAGAGTAATTGAAAATGGGTAAAATTTTAAATAGTTAATAAGTTAATCTATTTTGGTAAATTTTCCAAAACTTCTGTATGTCAAAGGGCTTATATGTGGAGCATAGGCTGCATGACCAACATCGAAGGAGAGGAAGCAATTTAGATGATGGAGAACAACATACACATTTTGTGTCATATTTTTCTTGGGTATCTATTTTGTGATTTTATTATATTGTTTAATGAGGCGCAAATGTGTGCAAGACATTTACAGCTGGGTTTCTCCATTTCAAAAAAGTGAAAAATAAATCCAACACATGATGTTGGCCATCCAAATTTTGGATCATTTTGTCTATGCTGTTGAGCTTGCACTAATATGTAGGCAACATGGCTTACATAATCTTTTTATTTTATAATATATGAGTTTCATGTAATTGATGAAGAATGACTTAAAGCTTCATTTATTATAATTTTAAATGATTATAAGGGGATTATCCCATGGACTACACTAAACTATTTGCTCATGCACTTGATTGCCTCTTAAGATGTAGTGTGGTTTAAGTAAGGTTATGGTATTCTACACTGTCGAATAGAACTAAGCAATATAGATTTGACATATTTTTTAAAATAACATTAAAAAACAACATATCTTTTAACATCGTGTCAAATCTATATCATCCAAATAACTGAAATAACTAATATGACCATCAACAACGTTCAACTCGAATTAGTGATTTCAACCACTAATTTGTTTTAGATGTTTGAGCTCATGTTTTTCTCTCTTTATTCAAGTCTCCCCATCATGATACTCTCATGCATTTCCCATGAGGAGAGAGCCTTCTCCCATACTTTACTTCTAAGTTTCCGAAGGTCCAAGTTCACTTTCAATCTTTATATCGATGTGCCTTGGCTCTAAAGCTCTAAAGGCATCATTTGCCCTCTCCATTCACTCAAACGATTCTCTTTTCCAACACTTTAAAACTACCCTTTTAACGATCCTCTCGTGTGTTGTGTTGTTCTCAATTTTTCCCTTGGAAGATTTCTAAGTCTCTTTCTTCACTCAAGCTTAAAGCTCCTGGTATCTCTCTCTCAAACACCTTGTTTCTCTTACTTCACTCAAGCTTCTAGCTCCTGGTATCTCTCTCTCAAACACCTTGTTTCTCTTTCTTCACTCAATCTCCAATAGGGGTTCTCTCACCTAGTTTCTCTTTCTTCACTCAAGCTCCAATAGGGGTGGCCATGGACCCAGGCTTGACTCGGGTCCAGGTATGGATTCTATTTGCGTGTTGGGTCCAGATCAAAACATTGGACCCGAAACTCTTCAGGTCCGGGTTTAGGTCCATGTGGACCCGAATTGAATAGTATTATTATTTTAATAATATTTGATTACTACTTAAATAAATATAATTATATATTTTTAATTATTGTTTCGATAAGGACACAGTTGGTATAGAGTCGAGGCTCTAAACAATCAAAGTAAAACGCACTTTCAAATAAAGTGGAGAAATGTGATTTCAATATTGAAAATATTTATGATAGCCTTAAGATATATTTTTATTTCTTATTATAAAATTTACAGCTTCAAAAATAGTCTAAAACGAACATTGCTCCCTGCCAAGTGAGAAACAATGTTATCATGTTTTAACCTGTTATAGAGTTGGTAAGAAGTTTGATCAAGTCAAAATCAATTTGACCAATAACTAAATTGAAAGGACTACACAAGATAAAAGGAGAAGAGGGTTCTTACCCTAGATAGAATTGAGGGTATGACATAGCGTTGTAAATCGTTAAGCGCTAATTAAATAAGCCCAAGCGCTTTTCCTAAGAAAGGAAAAACAATAATAAATTTATATATTTTAAAAAAGTAATTCAATTTTGTTTAGAAAGTCAAACAAATGAAAATATTCATTTTGACATGATAAAACAATTTTGCTTTGTACAGCCTTTGTTTTAGAAACAAAGAAAATGGGATGATGCGATGAAAACATAAATCAACAAATACAAGCAAGAAAACATATGTAAGTTAATGCACCGATAGACGGCACAATTTTGTTGTCCATTTGCTTAGACCTCACAATCTGATTCAGTCTCGATAACCATGACAACAAATAATCTAAATTTGCATAAAAAATAAATAAAAATGCTGATGAAATGCTTCTTGGTCTTGTAAAGTCCCAATAATATGCTTCCTTCCATCACCAATATATATAAAGAATAAGGAGAATATTTGTTAGAAAAAGAATACGATACAATTCCAACATATTTCCTCTCCTCACATTCCCTTATTTCAATAAAATAGCCAAAAAAAAAATTACACAATCCCCATGACAATTCCTTTATATCTTGCCCTAGAAAGTCTCTTCATTTACGAGCCCTGCCCTTTTGGAGAGGTCAAGGGAAATAGTGTGAGAAGCTCAGGATCTCTAGACAGGGGAGATGAATGTAAATAAAACCCTTTTTCTGATATTGCATTTTCACTCATTGATAATTCTCCTTTTTTATTTTCACAATTTTCCACACTCAATTCTTCTCCATTAGTTCCCCTCTCCTTATTTCCTTCTCTAATCACCATCTCCATTTTCATAGAAATAGAATCCTCATTTTCCTTATTTTTCAAATTTCCATTATTATTATTATTATTATTGGAAATAGATGAAGTGGTGAAACTTGTAGAATAAAAAGGAGACGGAGAACCGGATGTAGGAGATGAGGAGATTAAGGGGCAAGGGGGGACACTTGGAAATGACGGTGATGTAACCGTCGTACCGCCCTGATAACCGGAAATAACCGATGATGGAATCACCTGGCTCGAGCCAAAACCCTTTTTTTGGGATGAAAAAAGGGCTTGCCCCGAAGGAAAACCGGCTCTGGGCAAAGCTAGTCTATTACCCGGCTTTGTGATCTCGACCTTCATCTTGCCATGGTATGGCCTCCTATCCTGCAACTTGAATGCAGGTTTGCTGATTCCTGGGGTTGCCGGAATCTGACGTGGCTCATTGGAAATTCCAGTCAGCTGTTGGACGAGCTCTCTGAAACTGTTTATGTCAACTTGGATGAACGTGGTACCTGAAGCACATGGCTGGACTGCCGGTTTCTCCATCGATGTCTAGAAAATGTGTTTTCCGGCTTGGTGTGGCCCTTAATTTCACCCGGAAATGTGGGTTAGTGGAGTGAAGGGAATTTAGCGTAAGAATATGGGCAAAATCTGAAAAAAAGAAAAAAAAAATATTGTGACACAGAGACTTTGTTAGAGAAATTCTTGGAAAGCATCATGAGAAGGTAATGATGATTAGTGAAAATTAATCAAGAATTCAAATTTAACAATAATTACGGGAAAATTATTTATTACGATAATCAGTAAAGGCCGTAAGCATCATGTACAATCTTATTTGGAATACTAGTTATCAAGAACTAATAAGCATATCGAGCTGTTGATGTGTGCCTTTGTCGGTCTAACCTAAAACAAGTGTTCAGTGTACTGGAAATAAGTTAAAATCAACGTTTGGCTAATTTTGGTTGTCCGATTTTGAACTAACTAAATAAAGTTGAGTAACTTTTTAAGATAATACATTCTATTTTTAATTATTATTTAAATACTTATTTGTTTATTTTTTTAAAAAAAATATATCAACCTCCCTCTCTTAATTATAATTCGAAAAAACACCTCGGTTCCATAAATATCCTTTACGACCCCCTAAGTTAAACAAAAAGGATGTCTAACTCCATATTCATCGTTTCCATTGTTCAAATTGGAATTTACCCTTCTTTATCTTAATCATCATGTTATCTAAGTTCTCGAAAAGCTTTCATTCTCTTTCTCTTTCTTACCTCTTCCTCCCTCTCTCTCTCACAAACTTTTTTTTGAATACTCTCTCTCATCTCATAAACCTTACAAATGTCATAAACCTTACAAATAAGTTAAAATATGCATCATAAACTCGATTTTAGGGGTGGCAACGACCTGAATAGTATGCAGGTTCTTCCTACCATGAATATTTACTTTGCTTTTGAATAATTACCTAAACATCTCTAGATAAAAAGTTACTATATTATAGAATAAAAAATTATCTAAAACACTCTTCTAAAAACAATTACTACATTATGGAATAAAGGTATTAAATGTCCAAAAATATTAAACAAATTAAAAAACGGGAAAAATTTATATAGAGCCGAAGCTCTAAACAATCACATTCGAGCCTACACCAAAACTTTTGCTAGACGAGATTGTTTTGATGCCCAAAAGTCCTCAAATTGAGGATAAGAAAAAAGTTGATTTTAAGTTTTGAAAATAATGTATTTTGTAATGCATTTTTTGAACATCAGTTTTCAAGTTTTTCAAGTTTTCATAGATCTATTGATTTACACTATTTTTGAAATTTTAAATTTTATAAATAACAATGAAAATATATTTTAAAGCTATTACAAAGATTTCTAGTGTTGAAACCACATTTCTCAACACTATTTAAAGGTAGGCTCTAAGTTGATTGTTTAGAGCCTAGGCTCTATACAAACTGCACCTCTAAGTAAATGCTATCATGTGTGAGTATCTTAACATAACCTATATTTGTATTCCAAATAAATATAAGTTTTCTTTTCTTTTTTTGATTTGTTAACCGTGAGCAAGAACGGTAGAACATTATGTTGAGGCATCCACGACCACGACCCTAAGTATAGGTGCCCTAACCCGAGTCGTTATATATATATAAACCTTTAAACAATCCAATAAAAGTGCACCTTTAAATATTATCATAAATGTAATTTTGATATAATTTTTTTGGAATGGCTTGAAAATCTATTTTCATTTCTAATTATAAACTTTTAAACTTTAAAAATAGTCTAAATCAAGTAGATCTAAAACACTTGAAAATCTTGAAAATGGACGATCAGGACAATGTGTTATAAGATACACTGTTTGCGGACTCGAAATCTTTTTTTCTTTTCATATTCATATATATCGGATTAATTAATGAGTTTTCAACATCTAAACAACCTTTATTGATGGAGTTTTTAGGCAGCATATAATACAATAATCACTCTCAATAAAACGAAAATACAAATCACCCTAAAAAAATTAGACTTGAGCATTAAATATGAAATACAATTGATTATTAATAAATTCCAAATATAACACATTTATGTTAATAAATTCCAATAATAAATTTTTCTTTAACTAAATTCTAAAAATACGTTAGTCTAAGAGTCAATCACCTCTTAAAAAGCAACCAAAACCAGAAGAAAACGAAGATCTCAACTCAAAAAAACTCAAATTCAAAACTGAACTAAACCAGAAGATAACGAATATTTCAAGTAAAAAAAACTCAAATTTAAATATGAACTAAATTGACAGTGTACCTAGGAACCATTTTGAATTTTCGTCAAACTTAGAAATGCCCAAACCAATTCGAAATTTCACGTATGTTATCCAAAATCTCAGTCAAATCGCCAATTTTACGACCACCGGATACTAAAAAAATCTGACAAAAAACAAAAAAAGATCTTAATTTTCCGGCCACCAAAAGATGAATTTCAGGCTGCTACAAGATATGTTTGTCCTCCCATAGCCCTATAATCGTCAATTCTCCACTAATCAACCTTCAAAGCTTTTGAATTTTCCTGTGAATCCAAATCAAGAAAACCCAAATTTTCTGGTGAAATATTATCACAGAAATCCAGTTTTCTCCTATGGAATTCGAATTGAAGTTTTTTTATTTTCGTGATTGAAGATTTCTTGAAAACCAACGACGAAAAATCAAAATAACACATAAGAAAGAAGCCCGTTTTCTGAAATCTGAGAAATTCATAAAACCCCATATCAAGAAAATCAGTCTGACAGAATCGAATTTGAGATGAACTCAAACCTGAAAACCACGAAAATCTCAGAAATTCAATGAATGAAATCCTGAACAGCAGTCCACCCACTTTAAATCCCAAGTTTCTCTGCAAACCTAGCCAGAAACCAGTCAAAAGTGTTGGATTTCGGAGATTTCCTTCGAAACCAAGATCAGAGAGTCAATGAATTTGGTGGGGTTGATCCAGCTCTGGTCTCATGGGTCAGTGGGACGTCACCGGGAAATTCACCATAAGAGACGTAAATCGCCGGAAAATGTGAAATCAAGGCCAGTAACGACGTTTTCCCGGCGACGAAAACCGCCTCTGAAACTTCAATGCATTTGAGACCTTTCCCCCTCACACGAAAGTGATGGAATTTGTCGTTATATCATCAAGAGAATAAACCCCACAAAAAAATGAATGAGAAAATTAAAAGGAAATTTAAAATAATTTGAAATTTTGAATTACAAATTGAAACAGAAAAAACTAAGTGAACTCTCTTAACTAATGGAAACGGGACATCTGGCACAAGATAGAGAGAGCCTATGTAGGCCAGCCCAACAATTAGTTAAAAAGGAGTAGGGGCTTTTGAGGCTCTTCTGTCCATCCACGATCGAACAAGTGATATGTGGTGAATGGATGGTGGAGATTTCAGGTTGGATTTTAACGAGAAGCCATTGGGTGTGGCCCCAATAGGGTTAAAGTAAATATTTATGAAAAATATTTTCAAAATTGTCAAGAAAAATCTACGACATGCATTTGAAAAATCCATCGGAAAAGTAGTTTTAATATTGAAAAACCTTTTAATTGATCGTCTCCACATCTCGAGATGTATGACCATAAAAAAAAAAAAGATTGTAAGTCCCAAAAATAGTGTATTTTACAACATATTATCTACACTGTCCATTTTCAAGATTTTCATATGTTTATAGATCTACTTGATTTTAACCATATTTTAAATTTAAAATTTTATAATTAGATATGAAAATAAATTTTGAGATAATCCTAAAAACATTTTACATCAAAATTATATACCATGATAAAATTTGAAAGTGCACCTCATTTCTACAAACCATGGATGCATCCATATGCCAACTACACCCAATAATGAAATGCCTTTCTTTTTCTTTTTTGATAAATAATAGAAAGGGTGCGGTGGTCCTAAATAATCAAAGTAGAGCGCAACCTCAAATAGTGCCGAAATACATTGTTTCAACATATATCTTTATGATGTCATAAATACTTATTTTCATCTAAATATAAAATTTCAAGTTAAAAATTAATGGGGATCAAGTAGAACTATGAACACTTGAAAATCTTAAAAATCGACGGTCCAAATAATACATTACAAGATGCACTATTTAGCAGACTCAAAAGTTATTTTTCTCATATCCATACATATTGGGGTTGAGATAATAATAAGGGTTTTTTAGTATGAAAACAACATTTTCTAATGAAGTGCTTCTTAATTTGATCATTTAAAGCCTCACCCTTATATAATTTTTTTTTGATAATAAAATGCCTTGGCATATTCCTGTAAATTGATTACATTTGAATATCATGAAAGTTACTTATTATTTTATTATTTTAGAAATTAGGGTAAGACAAAATAAAATAAAATTTGTGAAGACAATTGTCGCTAAGTTGCCGCAATAAGTCAAGAGTAGGGATGAAAACCTTTGAAAATCTTTGCATGACACATGGGGAACATATTCTCCATCCGATTCGGCCCCTTTTGGCTCAGTGCTCGCTTTGTTCCCACTTCTGTTTCAATGTTAAACTTGGGACTGGTGGGAAATGGAGCTCGTTTTGTTTGATCATGTTGATCTGGATCGGAACTATTAAATCTAGATCAATAATCGCTGGGACTAGTTCGGTTCTCACCATAAATCGAGAGTTGGCCGAATCTCCTGTAGAGCTAGCTTGCTCTATCATAAAATTGATCAACCTTTTATTTTTATCATTTATTTTATTCTTTATTTTGTTTTCTGTTTTTTTTTTTGGCTGGATCGCCAATCTGCACCACTAATCTGCTAATCTAAACTGATTTTTTGGTACGACGATTCAGGTGATCGATCCATTTTTCCAAACATTGGTTTAATGACTATCGTTGCCTAACTTGACCATCATGTCATGAGCTTATTTCTTTTTTCTTTTTAATTTTTAATGTTTGAAGGTTAACTTGGGATTGAAACTCTCTATGCCATGTCAATTGTGCCAAGAGCCCCATTTTCTTAAAATGTTGTTTTGAATTTTAACACAGGACCACAGTGGGGATGGAACTATGAAAGAATGACAGTTTGGCACTGCCACGCCCCAACCACCCAGAACTGTGCCGTTCTTGTTAGGGTGGGAACCAGTCAAGTTGGGTTCGGGCGAAGTAGGAAACCGACTGGTCGAGTTCAGATCTAGAAGTAAAAAATACAAAAACTTATGTGATATATATATATATATATATATATATATATATAGAAG